CCGACTCCCGCGAAGTGCGTTGTTTGCGCGTCCGGCCGTGCGGATGAAAGAAGGGGAGGGGTGGCCAATTGATTACTTTTTCAAGGGGAATGAAGGTCCTTACTTCGACCTTGACCTCCGTTGGAGTCTCTCGGCTCCTTGGTTGGTGACCGAATGCTGATGAACACGTTCGGCTGGATATACTTGCTGACAAGGCTAGGAGCCGACCTCAGTGGCGTTCGTGTTGTAAGCTTGTTTGTCTCTCTCCTCCAGCCAGAATCTCATTTACTAGGCATAACATAACAGCTTTTTTACGGCACAATAGCCGGCTGGTAGCTCTCCGGAACGATGTCCATCCGTTAGCGGTAACTCATCAGCACTATGATAAAGTAAACGCAGCTGACCGGTATGATCCCTCCCTTCCATACCTGGTCAGTGCCTTGCAGAATAACTAACCTCCATTCATAAACACTTCGGCTACGATAGGATCCGCACCAAGAGAAGGAAAAGGTTTGAGGGTTATGATCGTGTTTCTGTTCTCTGCCTCTGATCGAGTCTCAAGGCTAGCTGGCCATGATTCGGATCACTTCACCTGAGCACAAAGGAATCCAGGAAGGACGGGCCAACTGAACTTCAATCGAAAGTGCGTTGTCCAACGAGCCAGACGACGTTCCCATGTGGTGAGCTTGTGCACCGGTACTGTCCTTGATTGTCCCGCTGACTCAACTGTGCTTGTAACCAATGTTGTGGACCAGCAAGAGGATTCTGTGGTAATAACAATAACAATGTATCTTCTCAGTTTTACAAAATATGACCTGTTCAACTTGATCATATTGTTACAATTGATTCGTATAGGTTAACAGTATATTCCATATGTCAGGAAGAAATAAAAAACGTTTTTTATCCACCAGGGTTTTGCAGTTCAAAGCCTTGTTTGGACACAGAATATATCATGGCGTCCTGATGGTGATCTCCTTGTAGGGACAGAACCGAGTTTTTATTTCCTTGGGCAAAGGATGAGAAGCAACTTTAATGATAGGAAAAGATTAAAGCTGAAATCATACCCTTTAACCAAAGAATATGCTTTAGGTTAACCATTTGCTATAATGTGTGGCTTTCTGAAAAGCTTGGTGAAAGGGGGGCATTTATTTACTTCCATTTCCGCGGCTGTAAATACGGGTCGATACAGATTGGATATTTACCTGTTGTGTAGGAGGTGGACGTGATTGGCATTTGTCAACTGGCGCAGATATTTGATATAAATGTAGGCTAGAGGTAAGCGAGTAAGAGGAAAAATGAGAGAACTTTTTTGAAATAGTGGTGATGTTGGAAGTAGAATCGGTTAGCTTCACCGTGATGCCTGACAAGTTTACATGAGAGCAACATAGGAAGTATAGACGAGTAAAAGAAGAAAGAATGGTAAAAGTGAATGAAGATGGAGAGATTCAGTAAGCGTTTCCTTACCAGCTCACATTTTTGGTATGGCTGCAAGCCAGGCCTGGCTGAGTAAGCAGAATATGAAGCCGTGGCGACAAAATGCTTATCTTAATCTCGGTTCGCAACTCTTCTTCAGTCCACAGTTGTTGGTGTGTCTGTGAGTTATGCTTTCCGATTAAAGAAGGAAAATGGGTCGGGCGAAGAAGAGCGAAGGGAGTTCTGGCAACAATATAATTTCCCCAAGACATCTCTTCAGGAGGTCTTGATCAAATGAATGCAGTGTACGTAGCACATGTCATGTATATTTGTCATCAACGAACTTACCTCTCGGCCCTCTCTACAAATAACACTTCCATTGCAATTTGGTTGTAAGATTGTTTTTACGTATTGCGTCGTCAAACACTTTGAAACTGCTATTTGGAATAGCTGTTGTGAGTTGCATGCTCGTATTACAAAAGGAAGGTTGTTCCAGATCTCAGTGTAGCTGCTTAGGAAGAATGTCCTTGGGACATAAGTTTTCGTTTTGAACACCGGGAGTTTGTTTTTGGTATTCCTAATTGCGTAACTAGATTCTTTTTTGAAGTGCATATTAAACTTGGTCGCCAAAACGCGCTTTGGAATCAAATCAAAGAGGAGTGTTAATCTAAGCTTCATGCGTCTTAGCCACAGTGGCTCCAGTTGTAGAACCTTACAACGTTCAGAGTAGTTGAGTTTAGACGGTTAAAGACAGCATTGGCAAATGATCTCTGCACGTTTTCTGGACACATGCGCTCACGTCTCCTGTTACTTGTAAAGCAAATCCAACAGTAATCTAGTACAGGGCGAACGCAGGCCATAAACAAGTGCAGTTTAGGTTCACACATCGAAAATGATTTTAAGATAAGTTTTGCACTTCTTCGTGATCTGGACTTCATGAATTCAACTTGCTCACCAAAATTCAAAGTTCTAGAGTACCGGATGCCTAAATCTCGTGCAGTCTTATTGCAAGGGTTAGGTTTACCATCTGTACCTGATCCTCAGAAACCCCCACCACCCGTGCCATTCAATTCTAATACTCAGTCAAAACACCCCACTAAGAGGTCATTGGTTTAAGGTGGTCACGCAGTACAGCCGCCTGGAATGTTGGCGAAACTATTTCTCCCTTTGAGTGTCACAGCCTTAGCACGCCCTAGCGGAACATGTAATTAATGCACCCATCCTAACCCTTCTCAAAAAAACGCATTGACGATACTCTGTCACATTTACACTACGTGCTATAGCTCATGAGCACCAGATGCAGGCACTAATGCACAACAGACAGTGGATAGTGCCATAAACCTACTCGAGAATGAGTCACTCTAAACCCCTTGCACGAAATTTGATAAACGCTACTACTATAGAAACTGAATTTCTGTATCCCGTCGACTCAAGATAGTTGCACATGAGTAAGCGTTGTCCTTGCTATTTTTTATTTTGTTCTCGCTTATTACGTGATCAATAATCACTCACCTTATTGCTTTGTGTGCGTACGTTCTCATTTCAAACTCCCTTTATACGACAGTGCAGTTAAATCTGTAATCGCCCGATCTGACGACTCCATTATCCCTTAGTCTATCTTTTCTCACTCTGAACACCCTACGGGACATGTCAACATCTGCTTTTTTATCCGTTATAAATCATTTTTCATTGTTCAAGATAAAGTGCATTCAGTGAAAGTTCACACTTGGATGTTAACACACTGCACTTGTCCGCTGAGAAAGACATTTGCCAGTCAGTGTACTACAATTCCCAGGCCAGTAGATCTATGCGAACGTTTTCAAGGATGTCGCTCAAACAACGGATATTGAAGGTGTATAGTAGTTTTATACCATCCGCAAAAATATACGATGTCCCAACTTTTATTTTTTCAGTTATATCATTGATATACATTAGGAAGAGCAACAGACCTGACACAATTCCTTGAATTACACCACTTTTGATCTTCAATGGTGAAGACCTATTATGTCCTCTTAGTACCTGCTGCGTACGACATCTCAACCTTCTTCATTTCCTGGTCCCGTTGAGTCAAACTGGCTACTGTCAACACGAAACTTCCGTTATAGCTCACACACTTCAGTCTATTTGGTCGCACTGTTCTTATAGCCAGCGGAGTTTTACTTCTGGAATGCAACAAGTTCCCCGACCTCTCGGATATTCACTGACTGGTTAAACCATGAATATTGGAGTTGCAAACGGGGCTCTCTCATCGTGCATAGCGGCCCGGATACTGTTTATCAAAGCGCACTGTATCTGGAGCAGATAGTAAATGTTTGGTGTACAGAGATTCCTGGTAACTTTACCTAACAGGGTCTAACGTTGAGTTACCTTTAGAGAGAAACTTTTGATGCGCATCGCGACAAGTTGATGGAAAATCAGTAAAGAACCAAAATATGACTGGAATCCATGCATATCACCAAGGTTTTAGTAGGTCTTTTTAAACATTGCACCATAACCTCCCCTTCAGGGAATGCCTGTCAAAAGACATTTTCGTTCACTGATTACTTAGTAGTGGGCGGAAGCAGAGGAGATATCACTGTGTAGCTGGATCAAGAATCACTCAGGTTCAAAGACGCGTTATGTTGAAGTGCGCTCGATACATTTTATATCGAAAGTCTTGGTCCAGGAATTGCTTAAATTCTGACACCGACTTTGTGTTTGATGTATCGCAGCTGTATTAGTTACGTTCTTCTTTGCCTTGAGTATCGCAGTCCCAAAACAATTTCTTTTACTCTTAACGAACGCTTTCCTGTGGCAATTCGAGCAAGCAAACAGATCACCATTTCCTAACAGTGAATACCTAACATCTGTAGCCTCTTGATCAGTGGCCAGTCGTCAATCACCCCATCACGAATAGCGTCTGCGCGTATCCATATCTGATGTATTCAGTCAAGTGAGTAACCGACTGTGGTATACAATGTTGGAATGAAATACCACCGAAAGATGTCTACCTCCGATGCCATTGTATTAAATCGAATGAGCTGGGTGCTTGAACACAACTCGCGGTGCAAAATGTTATTGTACTTTGCTACGCGAACCCAAGGTAAAAGTAAGGAAATCACCAGGTGTACGCTGTAACGGTGCTTCGCTGCCACGCGACCATCATCAGTCGCGCAAGGACTGACTATATCGTGAGGACGCCCGCCCCTACGCGGATTCGAACTTAAGGTGGGTATTCCATACCCAACAGTGAATTGTCTCTGGTTATTTTCACAGCTTCTGTCCCGTTTCGACCACAATATACCCTTGGCCAGGGCTACTAAAACGTATTACCTCATGAGGATTCTCGGGTAGAGCACCTTTTAGTTGTCTCAATGTTTCCTTTTATAAATTAAAGCTTGTAGCCGTCTTAACGTATGATATTGATGATTTAGCTGTTAGTGCCTAAATAAACACAAGAGCTCTTACCACCAGAAGGAGTAAGGAAAGCTCACTAATTCGCCGCAATAATACCATCATCTTGCTGGCTGAAAACTGGGTCTGACTAGTCTATACACCCACGTATCGACCGTCAATTTGTAACGATCGATAGCCTAGGATTTCCTAGTACATGATTGATTTGTGACTGTTCAAAACGGTCGTTGCAATCCTACCATTCGGACGCACAGTGGACCGGTGCCAGTGTCTTCTAGCATCATGGAGAGCAAAAGTAACACTGACCAGGTTCCATCAAATCCAGTGACTCCGTTTGGCAGCGAAACGCGTCGAAAGGCTCGTGGAAACAGGCGGTCATCATCCAGTGCCTCTCGTTCCCGCAGTCTGTCCAAAACTGGCTCAAAGTGTCGCTTGGCGCCAAAGTCAGCGAAGCGAGGTGGATCCGGCCGTCGTCGTCCGTCCAAAAAACGATCAGCAAGTAGCATGGGCCGGCAAACGAGGAACAATGCAAACTCCTCAAACAATAGTGCAGCTCGTTCCGCGAAACGTCGACGAAAGTCGAATCCCTCGAAGAAGAGCGGTGACATCAAACACAAAACGAAAAAGGCGCGGGCGGCAACTCCGAAACGGAAGTGATTATATATTATCCTTGCCCCAATGACTCATCATATGCACTAAAGTGAGCGTGGTTCCTCGCCATTCTATATATTGCAGCTGTATTTACTCGGTTATCATAGTCTACGTCTTTCAGCACTGATCCGGTGACAGCTTCATAATCCGCTCGCATGGTGGAGCTGAGAAGAATTTCTGATATTTGAAACGCTCCTGCGCACTGCCATTGCGACACATGCTTCCTGTTGGTCCAACATAGCATTATTTTTGATTTTGACTTATCTGCATGAAACTTGATGTAAACCGTCATCTACATCTCGCAGAAGAAAACAGTGTACCATAACTAATGTATGATAAATATAGAGACTTTAAGGTCTGCTAGTCCAGTGTGAGTGTTTCTTAAACCTTTAATGAACACTTGATTGGTGAACCCCTCAGCAGTATGTATTGCTAGGAATTGAAGTAGCCTTCAAAAAGCAAAAGTGACTTATTTTGATGGGCGTGGGATGGCTAGTTGATCATGGGAGAAATAGAATGAAACGATCTTCCTACTGAGTTTAAACCACCTTGGGGTCTTTTGAGCTCACACTCAAGCCTTCGTGATCTTTTTACGCAATGATTGCTAGTAAAACGAACGGACACTAACGAAACGAATGCAGAGCTGTAAATATATATCGCGGATGCGTCCAAGCGTAGTTCTACCAGATCGTTAACCTGCTTTGAACTCGAGCTCATCTTTATATTGCGTGGACCGTGATAGTTTACGTCCGATTAACAGATGGCACCTGGAGTCTGTTGAGCAAATATCCCTCTGCCATAACTGAGGCAACCGCATTCAGGTCAGGTCAGGTAAAACGGACGATAGAGGCCTTCGCCTAACGAGCGTCCTGTTTCTTCTGCCGGTCAGTGAAGCGGCCCCCGGCACTTCGACGTTGGATTGACTCTTTTTGCTTCTGCAAAGGAACGAAGCAAGAACAAGAACAATGTTTACACTTACATGTGCCAGCATCAAAATACACTACATCTTCCAGTACAGTTACAATACCTTTGAGATAAGTACAGGCTAACACTCATCTAAGCACCTTTTGAAGGTTCTACAGACGCACGTACCACCAAACCAGAAGGAAGTTTAATACTTTCCTCTTTTCTATTATGCAGTGGTTAATCGAAAAGGAAGTTTACCTTACTTCGGTGAATTGCGATAATGTAATTAAGATTCCTTCTCCAAGGCATATTACATTGATCTCAGTGGTTAGATCACTGATTGCCGTGTACTTTAGAACTTCGACTCGCTTCTGTCTACCACAGTGAGTTCTTACATGCGATCATATTGTGTCAGGTCAGGAGAGGATAGGAGGGTAGCAAGCGCACTAACACAGCAGTTTAGTTGTTGTCAGAACTCAGTCGGTTTACGCAAAATTGGTCACTGAGCCATGGTAGGCTTCCGACTTCAGATGATTCCCAAACTAAAGACAACCTCAGCGGATAGCGTAGCACGATCCAGGCGATAATTTATAGCCCTTCGCGCGAAGATCTTTGCGCAGAGCAAACACAACCAAGACGCACGCAGCAGACACAAGCTACAACGCGGAACCGTATTCGAAGATAGAGTATCGTTTGCGTTGATTAAAACAAACTGCGCACTAAATGATGTGAATAGGAATAAGAACGTGCAGTTGTGCCAATGAGACGCATAGGCGTTACAGAACTTTCCCTGGAACGTGAGTTGAATGCGCGAATTCTCGAGCGGCGCTGGCTTTCGTAAGTTAAAAGTCGAGAATAAAAAGCGACCATACATCCGGAGCGCGTAACCTTAGCTATATCGAGGTTTGCGAGAAGTATTAATGGGGATAAGGAGGAAACAATTGGGTCGCAGACCGGCTGAGAGGGTGGCTGCTTTGCAGCGGATTCTGTTCAGGAACACACGTGTCGGTAGATTGTTAAGATAATTTTATTTATATGTAGGCAGGCTATAGGCAAACAAAGTTAACGGAATCATTACAACGATGCTTGTCTAAGGCAAAGTATTTCTCCTAACAATGTAGAACTTTGAAGGCACCTTCGTAAGCCGGTGTCAGCGGTTTACGGATGGTGTCCACGCGCACGAAAGCAACCAGACAGGTTGCACATCGGGGTGAATCCAATGACTTTGAGAGGTAGGTCGAGGTGGTATTGGACACACGACAGTAAGACGTTGCTTCTAGCGTACAGCATGCGAAGCAAGGTCCACTTCGCCGGTAACTGCGATTTCACCGGGAAGTCGAAGCGTTGTGCTGAAGACTAGCTCTGCTGGACAGCAATTGTTATCTTCTTTCAGAGTGTTCCGAATACCGAGGAGGTTGATTGCTATACGCTCAGGCCACTGAGCGTTCCATTGCGTAGCAGTAATTACAGCCTTGAGCTGTCGATGGAAACCTCCGACTAGCTTGTTAGCAAATGAGAGGTATGAAATTCTGCTAGATATGAACAACCGAGCATGTGGTTAAGGTCAGGGAACAAAGCAGAGCTGAAATGATACCCTGTATCCAACGTGACAGTGGTAGGCTTGCCAGACAAGAATATCCACTTCTCCATGAACGTTCTGGCGACCGTTTTGGCTGAAATATTTTATAGTGGCGCAGTGTGTGATCAACGCGTGAATCGGTTAACACATCAGCAATTAGGTAAAATGTTTACATAGAAGAAGAGGTTCAACGATGTCAAGATGGACATGTTTGAAGCGAATAACAGCCAACCAGAATATACCGGGGACGGTAAGCATGTGTTGCTGAACCTTATCATCCTGACTGGTGACGCGATGTTTTGGCCACCGTCCGAAATCCGAGCGCATACTTTGCCAGATGTAACGAGGAGTTAACAGCTTGGTAACGGATGGTGTGCCCAGTTGTGAAATGGCGTACAGGTGAGCAAATGCTGTTTATCGATATTGTTACGTGTCGAATGATCGAGGTAGTTCAGTGGACATCACAGCAAATTATGGAACTAGGGATCTTCGCGTTGATGAGAAGCGATGTATTCCAGGTTAATTGGCTGGTGTGAAACTAGGTGGAGGTCAACATGAGACATCGCGTTGATGATGACTTTACTGGCTGCACCAACATATCGAATATCCGCAGTGAACGCTAACATTTGGTCCAGATGACGAGTTTAGCGAGGTGAGAAGCGATCGGGTGGTCCGCCAAAAGCAAAAGTGAGCAGTTTGAGAGCGGTGAGTACGGTCAATAGATGGTCTTCAAGCGTATGTGGGAAATGTATGTCGGCGAGATAAATAGCTGCGTTTGCAATTGAAAGTACTGTATCTCCTTTTGGCGGGTTGTAGCTTACCAGAAAAGGACAAAGATTTTGGCTGACCTATTAATAATTGCTGTGGTACAGCCCAAACTGCCGACTACGTCGCGTCGCTCTGGAGGATCAGAGATGTTCCCACATCGGTATTCAGATGACTAATTGCGGTGCCACTTGATAGTGCTCCCTTCTTATTTTCGAAAGTTGTCGTTGCTTCGGTCCTTGACTCAAACTTAGGACACATCCCTCTAAACAAGTTTGGCAATGCTTGGAAGATTCTGGAGCACTGGAAAAATAGCAACTATACTCGTTTACGCTTCCAAGAAAGTGGAGTAGGCGATTAAAAGATTGAGGCATGAAATAGGCAGCAATAGATTGCGTTTTTTTTCGGGAAGCGGACTGATGCCGTCGAGGTCTATTTGATTGCCAAGGAAATCAATACCCGACTGGCGAAAGAGGTATTTGTTAACGTCGAGTTTGCCACCGTGCTGGGCACAGCGCTCAAATATCAAACGAAGCTGAGACAGATGTTCAAAGTTGCATGATGAGTCCAGACCAGGAAAATACCGTCGGTCTTGGGGTGTCAGTTTTGGTAGGTGCAAACCCAGATATCATCTATGACAGGTGTCCTTCACCATTCGAACGGGCCACAGGGATGTCGCTGATTTACACGAAGACGAAACCAAACATTCTAACAACTTGGCTGAAGAACCGTAGATCTGCGAAGCATTTCGCAAACCAAGACATGTGCAGGGATTTGTGAATACCAGAATAGTTGGCTATGGAGATTTTAGCGATATTTTTGGAGGTAACAGGAATCTGATAAGTTCAATCTTGGGAAAAAAGAGTCGCCATGTAAACCGATTGGAAAATAGTGAATGTGTGGGATTGGATAGCATAGATAGAATAGTGGCATTGTATCGGGCACCGTCATCTTCACATATTCGTCAGTCCCATTTGAGTTCTTGGGGCCATTTGCAACGGAGAAGACCATGGGCTATAGGATGGTTGAATGGTGTTGAGACTCGGCATATGCTGAAAAGCAGTTGTAACTGTGGCAAGTTTGTAGAGTGACAACCGTCGAGGTCATGCAGCGACTGGAGGCCTGGTAGTAACGATATGGTGCATAACCTGAGGTTCCGGGTCCAAACATTCGTCCGACGACTAATATGAAGCGGGAAATGGTTGAAGCATTTTACTGTTTACGCTGTCAGTGGGCAGCGACATTCTTAGGCTGATTGAGCAGAGCACGGATGGTAATAGATGTGACAATGTCACGGAATTTCCTGCAGCCTAGGTCTACAACCAGGACATATTTCGTAAGGAAGTCGACGCCAATGGTAGGAGATTGGACGCCTGCGATCAGGAAGATGAAAAGAAAGGATTGCCTGAGTCCAAGATCAAGTTTAATTGGTTCTGGTCGTAGCTGTGGATCATGATACTGTCAAACGACTGGAGCTTAATTCCGGTAGAGAGTAGTTGGCGTTTATCCATTTTTGGGTAGAACACTTACTTTGGCACCAGTGTCAACCAGGACTACATATATATACATATATATATATATATCGAGGCAAATAAAGGCAACGGATGGAACACACAAAGTAAGCTAGTAGAGATGTTTATTAGACGGGAGAAGAGTTAGCTAATGCTAAAAAATAGGGCATCCGAAGTAAGCTAGCTAGGGAGGATG